ACATTCTCCACAGCACTAGTGATAGGACAAAACATTGCTTCAGTCAAGGTCATCATCATCGTACAAATCATCGAAATCTGCAGAGTAAAAGAATTATTTCTATTATCACGTCAATAGTAGTAACAATAATATCAACATAATAAATTAGACTTAAGATAAACAATCAAATACCATTGAAAAAGTCTGCATGAACTGCTTTTTCACTAGCAGTAAGATCGACTAATAAACGGCTACCTCCAACCTAAAACATTTCTTACTTGAGTAGTCTGAATTAAATAAATAACTGATGTGTAATTAACATTATGTATCTAACGTGTACCAATGTACTTTTAACCAATGTTTTTTCATTGTTAACGTAATTTTATGCGCAATAATTTTTATGCGAACTTAACCTTAAACTAATTCGATTACCTCTTCCAATTCAATGAAGGATCCTGCACCTTCCGGGAACATTTCGTCTGCCACTGGAGTGGGTTTCATATTGCCTTAAGCTTTAATTGAACGAATTCTCTGTAAATATTAAAGCGAATTCTATGTTTTGACAGAACAACTGTTCTCACAACTGAATGAAGCTCTTTAAATCTTTCAGCACCCTCTGGCGATGATCAAACGAAACAACAAAATCCTTTAAAGTTTAAAATACACTTTTTCTAAACATTTATTTAATTTTAATTTGCTTATTTTGTTCAAGGTGTGTCAAGGACAAAAACGTCTTCAAAATTCTATACCGATAAACGATATTTTTTGCAAAAAGTTTCTTGATATGATGATTTGATATTATATTCTACAAATTCAAATTCCTCGTAAAGGTATTTCAAAAACAAACAGTTACAGCCGCAAAAGGAATAAGCAGCAATTCTACTTTTTGAACTGAAGGGCTGAAGAACAACAATCGGGCAAGTTGGCAGTTTAAGAACCTTAACACTCGTATTTCTTTTTTTTAAAAAACTGTAATTATTATTAATCGTAATAATATGATTATTGACAATGACGCGGCTATGTGCACATTAAAACACCTTAATCCGTATCTTACAAGACCAGCTTTTTCTTTTACATTATATACAGTAGCTAAATATTGTATTATTTCACTTTGCAATATAATAAAACTATTTATATATTTATATATTTATATATATATGTCTCGCGTATGTGTCCGGCTCGTCGTATGGGCCCCCGTTCATGGTCACATGTGGACGCGTTTAACGGTTCTATTCTTTTCTTATGAGAAATTCATCGTTATCGGATTTTTTCCTATGCTTAGCGTAAGTAAGAAACGATTTGAAATAAAATGATTTCGCTTGGCGCACTCTCTCAATTTTTCATATCTCTCCTCTCCCCATTTTCTCTGTACAACGTAATAGGCTCCGCTAAGGCTCCGTTTATCGCCGACGAGATTTATGTTTTTTTCTTTCTCTCTTTCACTCACTC